GTGTTCCCGCAATTCCACAACTCTTCTTACGGAGAAAACTCGAAGGCGGTGGGGCAGGGATCAATTTTATTGTTCTGTACAGCGTGCTCACAGTTCTCGAAGTGCGTAAGGGGGCGCAATGTGTAAACACATGCGTTTGCCTGTAATTGCATATCAACGGTTGCTATGCAAAACACGTGCGAAAAGGTACAATCATCTGGAGCGTCAATTTAATCACTAAGATTCATACGCATCGTTCCTCTGCGGGTGATGTAGTTCAGATATTTTACAAGCATTTTTTTTTTTTAAACGAGGAATTCAACAATAAAAACGAGGCATTCTAACTATAATAAAATAGTTTTAATCTTTAAACCCAGCATGGGTGCAACGAAACTTAATTTCTAAGCGCATTTTCTGCACTCAGACTACGGCCTAAAATCCCTGCCGCTCCGCCTTCGAGTTGCTCTGTAATCCAATTTGCGGGTAGACAACAGTAACAACGGTAAATAAAGAGAAAACCATGTCGTGCAAAAGTACGATTTATGTCAAAACGAAGGAAGCTACGCAGTTTGTAATACTACCGGGAGATAGAATAAGGACCAGTGAACTGTTGAACCAGTGAAGCTCATGTTTGTATACATTTTTATTAGCTCTCCTTGACATCATCAAGCTGAGCTATTGCCATAGGTCGTCGTCCGTCCGTCCTTCCGTCAACATTTGGCTACGGTCAACGATAACTCAGGAACCGTTTGACCCACATGTTTGAAATTGGGTATAGTTGTTACTGCTATGCTCCCATATTGAACGTCCTATTTTGGAGCACGCCAGTCGACGTACTTTCGAGCCACGGCAATTTTTTGGCAAAAATGGGAATTGCCATTAATCAGTTCAGGTTCAACGGATTTTTGCTCATTTTCTGGTATGCGTGATCATGAATAAGGGTTTTGACTATTTATTAACAAATTTATGCATTTTCATGAAAGATTTGGTCAGTTTATGGCAAATTATATAGACATACTTATATAAGACACGGCAGCAATAAAGTCTGTGGTTGTCACACTGCGTCTGGTTCGTTCTTACAAGATTTCATTGACAAATCTTTAATGCCAAGATTTGGAGTATTTCCTCCTACACCTGCCGAATATAACAGTCTATATTAGAGTAAGTTTTACAAAACATGTCGCAATGCAGCATTATTCATTTATTTCGAATGCCATCGCTAAGATAACATCAAAGCGGTATAGCGCATCTACCGTTCACAAATGTGTGATTCATTTTGGGGATTTTAAAATTATTATTGCGATATAACAGATGGCAACCTGTGCTCTACTGCCTAGAAAAACTCGTATACGAAGTAAACCACTTCATGCCAAACCCAACTTAACCTTTCGCAAAAAGTTGTGGTTCTGGGAGAGGAAACAACATTGTCATCTGGCGTATATAGCAGCTACGGCTGGGAATAAGCGTATCTTCTCAAATCTTACACGTTACACATCGCGAGAGCTCCGCTTTTAAGGCAGTGCCTATAATCTGAATATTATAAAAATGTTAAATGGCATCTATTTACCTGATGTAACGTCCCATCACTCGCCCACATCTCAGACTTTCACAATCTCAAAACATTTATTTTCACCATAAAAATTACAATATACATTAATCAAGAATATATAATGGGAGTTCTCCCATATATACTCTTTCGTTGTCTATAATGTACGTCGATGGCATTGCTCAATTAAACACTGACTTTCTACTACCATCATATTGTGTCTCATTTTTGTTCGTGTGAGCCTACAGTGTTCATTGACACTTATTTTTTTAGCTCATCTGACATAGCAGATGGCAGGCTCTGTAGAATCGCTCATGATTCGTCCGTCCAGCGTCCGTCCGTCCGTCCGTCCGAGCAGGTCCGTCCGTGCGTCCGTCAACAGCTGGGCCACAATCGTTAACCGTCGACGTACGGTCACGGATATTTCGGCCACATTGGGGGGCGATCAGTCAAAACGAGTTGGGCATTCTCGAAGCTGTTCGGGCGTCACAGGCAAGGGCTCAAGAGGTGTAAAATAAGGGGGAAACATTCACTCCTTACTCTTAAGGTATAGGGAAAAAATGCAGAATTGCGGCACAAATGCTAACGCGCTCGACCTAGCCTCGTGATAGTCGTGTATAGAGCATCATGGTAGGAAAAGCCATCACTGTGCCGAAATTGGAGGTCACAGGTCAAAGGTCAGTGGGCACAGGGCAGATTTTAGACATTTTCTGAGGACATGGTCTGACGGACGCATTGAAAATTTTTTGTTCAGCGGTGACCTAGCATTTTTATGGCGCTTTATTGAAAGGACCATGAATGTCCCTTCTGCTGACATGCGAAGAGTAAGTGTCGGATAACCTTTTGACCCTCAAGAGGAGGGTTAAACTTGGATTTGTTGACTGTCTGTTAGAAAGAATTTGACTGCCGGGTTTGCTAGTAGAATCTATACTGCCTGGATGTATGAGGCTACAATGTCACAGTGAAATTTCAAAAGCTAAATTGGTTAAGAAAGTGTATGTTCCTTAAATCGTATAATTTCTATGTCATTCTGTACTGTCAGTATGTTACATGTAACGTATGCCACTGCCAGCGGCTGCTGCCAGTGGCATGTGTTGTCAGTTTTGCCTGCCTTACATGGTTACAGGTGGCAGCCTCTATTGCAATTTGCAGGCCTGTAGGCTTGCGTAAGGTAAATGATGAGTGTGTAACCTCTTACCTTTCTGTTTGCACAATAGTTGTTGTACTACGTATGATGGGAGCTTCCATCTTTAATCTGAAGAGCACTTAAACCGTACGCGGCAATCTCGTGCGCAACTCATAACGATCCAACGAACATTCTTTGAGAACGGTTCCTGAATACCATCCCTGTGCATTCCACTGTTTCGGCGTGTATGTGAAACAAATTCGGGACTAGCAGGGTTTACTAGAATCCCACCACTCCACCACCGAGTCACCGCAGTAGACGTTAGATGAGCGCTGTCGCTCTGCGGCACTTGTTTACATCAAACTCGTACGACAAAATGTAGTGAAATCAGTACAGGTCTATAATACGTGTCAAACTCCTTTGTCATTATTAGCCCCTGGTAGTAGTAGTACTAGTGCAGATGGGTATAGAAATTAACTTGTGAACAAGGGAGTCCAACGGACTCCCTGCCCTCAAAAAGAGGGAGTCCGCAGCAAAATGAGGGTGTCCGCAGTCTGAACTTCAAAACGAAAGATATTAACAATAACGTGTGTGCTTATTTTGAAGATTCGATCATGCGGTTGCACGTCTGCCAAATTTTCTTTGGGCATTTGCTGAAAAAATACGGTAATTCCACGAGGCCGTGCTCTGGAACGAACTAGTATAGTTAGTGATGCAGAATTTTCAGGGAGTAACACGGACTCCTGCATATATGTCAAATCAGGGAGTCCGAGAGTAAATCGGGGAGTATTTGACTCCAGACTCGCGTTAATTTCGCACCCTGCAGTAGGGTTTGATTTGATTAGCTCCTGTAGCTCAAGGAAAATTACAAACGATTCACAATTGTGATCCAGCTAGCCAGCTATAGCGTAATTACTGCTGTGAAATTTTATTCATATATGCAGTCCAGTAGTAATTTTGTGTAATGTAATAGGTATCACAACAAATTGCATTTAGGTTGGACCTGACTACCTTATCGTGGATGCCATAGGGAAATTTGTAACTGTATTCCCATCTATCCTGGGCAGAGGTGATCTTAGGCACAATATTCACAGGTTGTATCTCCACTGTCTCTGTCTCTGACTCTGGTACTGTCTCTGAGCGCCCATAGTCTCGCTGCCCAAATGTTTTTTTATTCCTCATTGCCGTACGAGGGTCGTTCTTCCCAGACACAATCTGCCATGGCAGAGGCGGGTTCGGCGCTTTCTGACTGTTGGTTGTTGCTAGTCTAGTAGTGCGTACGTACCGGCACAGCCACACGCATACAGCGGCCAGCCACATAAAAACACTCCACACTCATAGATAATATAGATTCTAATATAGACTACATATATATTATATATAATATAGACTCACTATATATAGTCTATATTATACACTCCTGCAGTGCGCGAATTTTGCCGGCGGCCGCCGGTTCAACCCCCCATATAACAGTATGTATAATCAGTCCACTTGGCATATTACATCTCTAAGAAATTGCCATCGAGAATCCATAATAGAACATTTCTATTGTGGACTAGATGGATTTCATGTTGCATGGTGCCCTACTCTTTAGACTGGCCTATGTGTGCCATGTGCCTAACAACCTCCCAGGTGAAAAGAAACTCTTCAACTTAATGCCCTTAATTAGTTATTTATATATATGTCAGTTAAAGTGGATAAACCTCGCAACAAAAGGCCTACATACACCTACTGTGAGCATACTTGCAGTACGAAAACATCAGAAAATGTACTCATTAAGCCAAAAATGTGCTCCAAAGTTTACACTTTCGGAAACTCCGTCAGACAGGGTTTCAGCGTATAGATACATATATATGTTGTTTTGCAGGGAGCATGCCAACCGTAGGCCTACACTAGCGCAAATAGTTCCTGGAACGAAAACACTATAATTGTTTCCATGTTTAAAAACAAATTTCACAATTTCGTACTGAGTAAACATATCGAACAATAAAGTATAACATGTGTTATCATAGAAAAGAACTGTTAATGCAGCACAGCATTCGCTCGGCCGTGTACCGGATGTGTAAACATCCTGTGGTGCTACATTCGTAGCGAAAAGTAATTTCGTTTAGATTTTATGAAGAAATGTGAAAGTAGCACTACAAATAAGTTGTAGACTAGTAAATTTTTACAACATGGACGAGCTCACAGTAGGTATATCTATGCATTTTGCTGCGAGAACATGCCGTTTAGAAAAACTTTGGTATCTACTCAAAGATGATGCCTATTTTGTTACACTTCTGCCCATGCAATAGAGGTTAACAAAAACAAAACATTTTATACTAACGATTTTTTTCCCCATTCCAACAGCGACATATTTTCAGTCATGCAGCAGCCGACGGTGTTTGCTGATCTAATGGATGTATTAATTGACTACGTTAAAGCAAAACACAAGGATATTGACGCAATCATTGGATTGGACTCACGAGGGTTCCTTTTTGGACCTATAATATGTAAGTGTATAATAGTTGTCAGACATGTAACATGTGTAAGCAGTCAATGTAACTATTTACGTTCTTACACTTCACAATGCAGACTTCATGAAAGCATTGAGAGAAATTTCAATAATCGTGTGAGCAATGTGATGTTTCACATGTGCTTCAGTGCTCAGCTGTAAAAGTCTGAAGATATAGAACTCAAACACTCATGTGCTCTCAACACGGTGTACAAATTTATATAATTAATATATATTATCTAATTGTATTCTTCACTTATAGGTTTGCAGTTGGGTATTCCGTTTGTACCTGTGCGCAAAAAGGGCAAACTACCTGGAGACCTAATGAGCACTACATATCAGCTAGAATATGGTTCAGTAAGTATACCCATTGTACATATCAATGTCATCTACCAACCAACTACCAAACTGCCAACATAGCAATCAGCCAACCATCCAACAAATTGTGCCAAATCTTGGATATGTATATTTATATCCTCATTGAATTTTGTGATTCTTAGCGTAGCTTAGATTTAATCAGTTTGAATCAGCTACGAGTAGTTATTAATTGTATTGTTATATACACTGTAACACAATTTGTTTTGATTTGTAGGACGTTTTTGAAGTTCAAAAAGATTCGTTTAAACCAGGAGATAAAATTGTGATTATAGATGATCTACTAGCAACTGGAGGTAACTATTCCTATTGGCATGAAATTTAGCAGTAGTTTATCCAAATCAGTCGGTGTGAGCCTAGTTCCCGTGTAGTACTGTGCACGAATTTCTCTTTTTGCAAGCTGGTAGTGGTATGGATTATAATATTAATTATAATTATAACAACAGACGGGTTATCTTCTCTGTAGGCACAATGTCCGCCTCTGTGGATCTTGTCAAGAAGAATGGTGGAGTAGTGGAAGAGTGCATCTGCATTATTGAAATAGATGACTTAAAAGGAAGGAACAAACTAAAAGTGCCATTTAAGTCATTCATTCAGTTTTAAAGATATGGAAAATCTACACTCAGTTGGACTTAAAAGGAACGAAACTATACTGCGAGAGAAATTGTCTTTTTCTAAATATGGAACATGTTTTAAAATACATGTGCACAATTAACTGTGATACCGAAGTAATTTTTCCATGTGGTGTGATATGAGGGTGCTACTTTCTTTACTGCTTGTTACACTTTTATAGAGCCATGTTGTTAGTACCTAGGTTTCTAGGTATCTGTAGCATCTTAAGTTTCAATAGGAATTGATAATAGTAAGAAATGGGCAAGTGAGAATTACAATAAAGTACACAGTAGGTTTTGCTACACATTTTTGTTAAAAACAAATTTATTTTAAATAGCAAAATCGAAATGAAGCATAATTAGTTATAACTTCATAACCTTAGGGTCGTGACAGTGAGTTCAGTTTTTTATGAACGTCAGTGAATATGATTTTCCTTTTAGCTAATCTATTATCACCCTACATAAATATATGGATGGGGTGTTTATGTTAAGAGCTGGATCGCAGAGTGTAATCACAACTCTATTTTGTGCTAAGCAAAGCCAATCTTTCCACATGTAACAAAAAGAAATACAAGTTAAAAAGCAGTTAAAAGGACTTGCATTTACCGATAGGCCTAAACAACGCTGGTAAATCTGCTTTACAAGCACTAGAGTGCATTTTGTAACCAGCGATCACTTCAAGTTATCGTAGCCAAAGTTGATTTTCCACTAATGTGCAGTATGAAATACTCTTATATGTATGCTCGAATGATTCCTCACAATATATCAAATTACTATCTTCCTACACACTAGAAAAGACATTTGAACTCAATATCCAACTTTTGTATCGATTTATTCGATATATTTCAGTGTCCATTATGTCAACTTGGGTGCACACGTGGACAGCAAAACCTGATATGGCTACAGTATGACCTGGTGTTTACGGTTTAGGCAGCATGGATGTTCATCATAGGGTTGCTGTAGCACACACGGCACAGTCGCACCTCAGGTTTCATTCATTCATAGCCACGCTTTACTATACAGACACACATAGCAACGGTAGATACAAGATACACGTGGATGTAGATCAGAGGCCCCCTCTCAGTGCCAGCACCAGATGAAGAACCGAGCCACCTTGAACTTTGTAATCTTGAGCTGTTTTCTCATCATTCCTGTAAAATACCAATGCCTCATTGATATTTTAATACATACTTTTTTATATTCAAGAAACAAAGCTCATAATATTACATTAAATTTCACATAGAATTTACTGCTGAGATTCAACCTTTGCACAATTTTCAAAAAATTGCTACAATACCAATTTGAAAGGTATGAGAAGTTAAGTCTGTGTCAGACTGGAGCAATCCATGTTTGCTACCAGTGATTGTGTATAGTGTTTCAAATCAAGATAATAGTACTATATTAATATTAATGCTTTCTCAGACTTGAGTACAAATAAGGCCACAATTAAGAAAATCTTTGTTTGCCCTCACCCGACCCAGGCTGAAAAGTTGGGGTAGATAGGTAGGCTTTTTTTAAGGAGTCTTTACAAATTCAGCATGGTGTCTACATGCTTGGGTGTGCTTGTGTGGAGATACCTTTTATGTTGAATGTTTGTTTTGCTTGGTACATATAATGTATTTCCTACAGATTTATATAATGTACAGTAAAAAAAAAGATCTATAAAATTGTTTTAGTCGGCCCCTTTTTGGCGGGTCGGTCAGGTGAGGGCAAACAAACAATATTTTTATCATGGCCTAAGGAGTCCTAAAATCTGTTATTTTGTATAGCTTACATCTGCTTTGAGTCGACCCCTTTTTGGCAGGTCGGTCGGGTGAGGGCAAACAAACAATATTTTTATTATGGCCTAAGGAGTCCTAAAATCTGTTATTTTGTATAGCTTACATCTGTTTTCCACTGAAAATGAGTCTCTGTTGGGCTGGTGGAATTCCTTCTTTTTCTTCTACTCGTTCCTTTATCCGCTCAACCTAGAAAATGTTTTAAACAACTTGGTTATTAATATTGACACATGTTATACTTATGCTACTAGTAGTAATTTATGTCTTTGTCACGATATGTTCTGGTCGTTTAGCCAAAAAATAACATCACCATGAGGTTACTGCTTGAGGGGACTGCTTATAAGTTAACATAGAACATATAGTACATTTAACATAGGCAACATTTAACATTAGACAACAATTACATGGTTTCTTCTGAGGGAAAATTAGACAACGGCGGTAATGGCCAGTTTGGGGACAAAACGCACATGATGGATTCAAAGGCGTGCAATAGGCACAAATGTGGATTCTGCAGGCAGACGCGCGGGGGGAGGGGGGGAAGAGAGGTAGAGGGGGGTTCTGCGGGTTTCCCCCAGCAAGATTTAAAAAATTTGAATGTCTTAGACTGCATTTGAGGCACTCCGAAAATAAAATTTCACCTTTTAGTTTAAATCTTATTCTGTTAGCAGACCTACTAAGTCTCACGTTGCACATTTCGCGGGAGACTCACGCTCCCGCGACACCCATGTTACCCACGTCTGTGGCTGTGCACATCGTGGCTCGTGCTTGCTGGCTGGGGCGGCATTGATTGAAGTACGGGGGGGGGGGGGGGCACTGATTGTTACAGTCGCGTGGGTGTGGTTATTGCTGTATATGTAGGGGTGGGCACCGCTGGTATGAGGGAGCGACAGCAAAACTTTCCCAGAATCAAGGAAAAAGCTGCAATCGGGAATGACACAGGAGTGTGCCGGCATGCAAAAAGAAACGTTGCTGTGAATTTCATTACGATTTTCCATGTATATAGTCAGAAGCACGTGGTGATCTATTTATTTTTGGATTGACACTATTTTGACAACGGCGGGTAAATACAGGAACATTTTCACAACGGCGTTGTTAAATTTGAAAACGGCGGTGCGCTGCAGTCCCTCCTATGTAGAAGAAACCCTGCAATTAACATAGAAGATTTAGAAATAATAATATAGAACATTTGCAACACCAATGAAGTTAGAAAGAATACTTGACTATGTAAGAATTCCATGTCAACCTACCTACCTTGTCAGTAGGTTCAATATCGATTTCAATCTGGAATGAATGAAACGAAAACACATTAACTTTATACATGAGAAACCCTGAACAAAATTAATGGCCGTTTAAATCCTTACATAACTGCAGTGAAATCATGTATATACTGACAATGCTGTTCTGCAGTAACAAATGTTACTGTAAAAATTCATTATAGATGTAATTTTGCTGTAATCTAGCAAGTCTCAATTTATAATTTCCCTATATATATAATTTCAATGTATTACCATAGTTAACTTAACTATTAATAGATTTTATTGTCATTCACTATTTATTATGCTCACAAACATTCCTCACTATCTAAGAATGGTACACATGAACAATTCACTGAATAATGCTAGTAAATAAGGTTCAACAAAAGAGCCATGAAGAACAATGAAATGATATCCATTTTACATATTGAAAAAAAGCAAGTAATTACCTCTTTTCCCGTGAGAGTCTTTATTGAGTACATGGAAATAGAAAATTTTAATTATTAGATATTAATGAACTATACTAGCTTTAGTCATATTTAAAAGCCAAATATATCCATTTATGTTGACAAATGCCAGAATAACTGACACCTTATGTAGTAGTATATAACCTTGCCCAAAAATTCATATTAGGTTGTAAAATTTCACTGCTGGTTGCTAAAAAAGGCTCAATTGTAAGTCAAGCATTTATTAGTGGTCGCTTCCATTTCGCTTTGCAACCACCGAAACAATTTAACACCTTTCTGCACCACATATTTTTGCAGGCACGCTAGACCATACACATGCTCGGTTTATCACTCTGGTTAGAACAAACATACCGGTAACCCGTACAGACTGCAAAATTTGATATGGTATTAAAGTGGCACGCGCCAAATCGTAGCGTACAGACACTAAGCTCTGAAGCGGGCTAAGTTGGCACGGATTGACTGCATGCACAGTTTAGCCTGTTACGTCACTCGACAGACATTTATTGTATTTTCATGTGACCTAAATAAAGCTATGCGCATGCGTATTGTGAAATCTGACGCGCGCCTCGTCTGGTCCCATATTGCGTACAGGCACGTTCAAAGCGGGCTAACTTGGTTCGCTCCAAGTTAGCCTGCTTCGAAGCGGGTCTGGCCCTCCTTAATTTGCGGGGCTAAATTGGTGCAGGCCAGTGCGTATTTGGAGCGGGATAGCGTGTGCACACTGCAAAAATTTGACGGGCGCCTGGCTCGCACCAGTTTGATACCATATCAAATTTGCAGTCTGTATGGGGTAACAGATTCAATACACGTTTGCTACTGCTAATTAATACGATCGCCACATGATTAACCAGAAGTGAAATTAGACCACCTAATATTAATTTGGCAGTAAAATTAAATACTCATAAATGATGCAAGGTGTCATATTTATTATTAATCGTCAACAGTGTGGATAAGATATGGCTTTAGCCTTTAAATGATACATGATATAAACAGTGATAAAAACTTACACAAAAGAATTAATATAAGCACTTACAGGCCTCCAAATTATATTTTAGGGGTTCAACAATAGTATTAGGGCTCCCACTGATAGTATAAAGTGAAGAAATGCAATGGCTAGGGGTTTAACAATTTTGCAGTTATTTTTGCTCAAATAATGCCCTCTCTATGCATTCTAGACATAGAAATTTAGAGCGAAATTCTTTATCTTTCAGCACTATTACATTCAGGTAGGAATATAGGTTCAAATTTTTGTGACAATCAAATAGTACTGTTTTAGTAATTTAATCTTGATAGGCCTGGTGTATGTAAAGTAATCAAAGAGAAGTAAAATTTAGATATTGGCAGTCAAATGTAACGTGGTTAGGCATATATAGGTAAAATATAGCCTCTAACCATTTCCCTCATCACAGGAACACACGAATGCCTAATGCCAGATTCTGTCAGATACTCAGTCGACCAAGACGTGACTACATGTATTATTTACATAGTTAGTATATATACTGATAAATCGGCTAATGAAAAGTAAATCTAGTACTTCTGTTGTGGCCATTTGTGGCATAACAAACTAACTCATTGCCGTCCGAAGGAGGGGTGCGATGGGTGCGGTCGCACCCCTTTTTTTTACAGAGTTTACCCCGGGAATTAGTTATTTAGCTGGCAAGTCAATTCGTCGCGCAAATGTTAGTGTAGGGCCAATATTTTCGTGTGTTTGTGCATTTAAAGCTTTTGTATCGCGCACATAAAACTTCTGATTAGACAATCAGATTGCAATAATTTCTGAAATATTTGTCATAAATTGTGTGCAAACATGCTCCAAAGTGAGGCTCAGATTGCACCAGAGAGCATCTAAAACCCCTAAGCTTCCAGGGCCCCTTTACTAGCGGGCACTGCACCCTGGTCGCGAGGGGCTTCGCGCTCGTGATATTTCACAGAAAAATTCACTCCTGTCAAGCCACGTACCCCCCTTTTTGAAAAGCTTGGGACGGGCCTGTAACTTGTAGTAATAGCGACGCGGGCTAGAACCGTCTCATCATTATAATATGCTGTACCGTGTACCGAACATGCGGTGGTGATAATTGTAACGCAGTGGCTACGCGTCCGGAACCGGTTGCCTAGGCTCCAGGCTACGCGTCCGGACATCCACTCACACAGTGATCGCGCTACTCGCATACCCGCATGATTGCGCAACGGGATGCTCTGCTGCCATCTATCCTTTCATCCGTCCTCTCTCGCTCTCTCTCTCTCTCTCTCTCTCACATACACACACACACACACACTCACAGCGCTCTCTCTCTCTCTCTCTCTCACACACACACACACATACCTCTCTGAGGCTCTCTCTCTCTCTCATGCATACACACACACATACACATTCCCATTCCCTCTCTCTCTCTCTCTCTCTCTCTCTCACACACACACACACACGGCAATCACCAGAGCGTCCTATTGCGCAATCATGCGTGTACGTGTCGCAATTAAGCTCGCTGTGTGAGATGGATGTCCAGACGCGTAGCCTAGCGGCTCCTTGTCCAGAACCGGTCGCGTAGCCACGGCCTAATTGTAAACAGCAGTCTCACTCACAAGTTGTAACTGACAGTAACTAAGTCTGTGACAGTGTCGTGTGAAACTTAGTAGTAACAGTAACTGAAACGTCAACTCTAACCCTAAATAAAACGGGGACATGATTACAATAAACTACAGCAGAGTTACAGGCTACAGTAGTACTTCTAGCAATATGTAGACTTTGTAGTTTAGTGTTTTTGGTGTGGTTCTAGTATGACACTGTCACTGACAGTGCGGTTTACTATGTGACTATGTGAGTATGTCTGAGACTGCCGGTTTCGAACAATAATGCGAACAATAAATTGCTATTTCGTTTTTTACGTTATTACATTACAGATCCATAGAATGTAACTTGAAACTACCTTGCTTGGGTTACATTTTACATACACACTTTGTAATTATAGTCTCGTAAAATTCTACATTTACCTTTACTTTGATAAGCATGATGACGAAAATTTACTAGTTTCGGGCTTCGAAGACGGAACCGTACCTAAAGCGACATGTGATTGGACACCAAGGCTAAGCCGTTGTTACTAGTTCGCACATTGGTTTATAGTTGGTGTTTTCCTTTCTCGGATGTCTCGCGAGAGCCATAGACTGGTGTTATAGATGGTTTCCTGTCTCGTAACATTAGGCTACGAAAACGTGTAACAAAGTACAGTGTACCAGTCTACTGAACCGGCGGACTTCAGGCATGCATGCAGCATTGCAGACGATCCATAAATGTTATTCAACTTATTCAAGTTATTGATTAAGAGTTAAAATGAACCAACCCAATTTTATTTTCTTTGCTGGTAGTCCATTTCTGCATGAATTGTGTTGCGTGAAAGCTCGCATAGCTACAAGTGACGGTGAAAACGCGAGCGATTACGACTCTGAGTATTCATCAATGCCATCATGTCAACCACGCGTTCCATCACCTCGCTCTGTCTCTGCTGGATCTGGTTGCCAGAATCAAATGCATATACTTAAATGTCGGTAAGAATAATAACGTATTTTTGTTATTATAATGCTGCGTTGTCTATTAGTATTAGTATTATACTTTCCACAGGCGCTTTCCAATGTGGTTTATCCAACTAGGCCTATTCGTGGAGATTGAAAGATTGTACTATTGTAGATCTACTTCACACTATTTGCTATTGCTGTATTTGCTACACTGTCACTAGTACTAGTGCTCATAGGGTCTATGTCCCCCAGGGTACTGCCGGAACGTATACCCTGGGTACGTTCCGGTACCCTGGTAACTATATCTGATATGGTTAGGGTTAGGGTTACTGTTAGGGTTAGGGAGTAGGCGTAAGCGACTCCCTAGACTCGTTAGTGGAATAGCTAGGCGAGGTACGGTCCGGCATATTAGATAGTACCAGGGTACGTTCCGGCAGTACCCTGGGGGACATAGACCCTTGCTCAGCAGTACTACTACTAGTACTATAGTATTGGCTGTAATACTTACACAGACTACAGTGTATTGCCGTTTTTATGAAGCAGCTCCAGTTAATTGGTCAACTCGTCCCACACAATTTCTTGACCCATCAAGCTTACTACTACTACTAACTATATATAGTGCACGAAGGGTCGTTGTCGTATCAGGTACTACATATATATGTACCCGAGGTATAGTTTTAGGTTGTTTAGTATTATATGTTTATATTTTTATATGAGGTATATGTTTAGGGTTAGGGTTAGGGTACACTTCTGTAGTACAAGTCTAGCTGGTACACTTTGTGTATACATATATATGTACGTACCTCGGGTACATATATGTAGTACCTGATACGACAACAACCCCTTCAGCACTATACTAGTACTATATAGTAGTAGTAGTAGTAGTAGCTAGTAGTAGTAGTAGTATAGTATAGTACTATTAGTAGTACTGCTCATAGGGTCTATGTCCCCCAGGGTACTGCTGGAACGTACCCTGGTCACTATTTGATATGGTTAGGATTAGGATTAGGGTTAGGGTTCGGGTTTGGGTTCGGGTTAGGGTTAGGGAGTAGGCGTAGGCGACTCCCTAGACTCGTTAGTGGAGTAGGCGAGGTACGGTCCGGCATATAATATAGTACCAGGGTACGTTCCGGCAGTACCCCGGGGGACATAGACCCTATCAGCTATAGTAGTACTACATGCATGGTGTACCATGCACGTGCCCAGTGAAGCAGTGTAGACAGTAAACCTCCAGAAGCTGTAAACATAATTGTTTAGACATACAATGACAGTTTATATGTTTCAGTGAGCTAATATTCATGGAACCAGATGTTATAGCCTCACCTGACTGGGAACAGCCTGGCCAAATCCGAGTTGTCATGCAGGTATTGTCTATATATATATATCATTAAGGAGCTGTCTACAAACTCAGCTATATAAAAATTATAAAAATACCTTGTAGTGTATAAAATAAAGTGTGTGTGTGTGTGTGCGTGCGTGCGTGCGTGCGTGCGTGCATGTGTTCATTGTGTGTGTATGGTACGTAGGGATCGAAGGGCTACACACATTCGCCTGCTGTTCGTTGCTGTTGACTAATTGCTGTAGTAGTTATTGGGGTGAGATCTTCAGAGCCCCAATAGACATGCACCCAAAAGATCACACCACCCTTTTCTCAATCCTTGATCTTTATAGTAATATTTTTACTTAGAATAATAAGTACCATACAATTGTTTAAAAAATATATTGAATTTTAAGTGCCGCTATATATGCACTAACTAATATACACCTATTGCAATTTTTCAGATAGAGTTTTATAAAACTGGCCGTATCCAAGCTTATTTTCAGAAGCGAAACTTGCAGGTGAATGCATTCATTGTCTCGAGATTTGCAATATATATATATATATATATATTCGTATATAAGTTTAGATCTATGCTGCATGTAATATAAACTAACATGACTATCTCATTTATTTATATGGATTATACTCAATATGAATCAGATGGACAAGCCAACACGAGTCACACCAGCAATATTCCAATCATGCATGAACTATAGTTTGTATGCAAGAATGGCACCACACTGGAACAAAGTATCTGACATTTTAATACAAGGTAAATATATATAAATAAGGCATATATAATTATATATAGTCTAAATGGTGGCACTATTTAGAGATGATTATGATTTGGGATATATAATAACCCCCAAAAAATTTAATTTAAAATTTTAATGTAACTATAAATACTATATATATATATATATACTCTCCTTTCTTACCGGTATTCTTTTCTTCTTTTTTCCTTTACTTTTCTCGCCGTCCGGCCTTTACTTCGTTCCCAGCTTCTATTACTAAACCCTATATTACAGAGCCCTATTACTAAACTTCTGCCTGGGCTTTTTCACAAGATTTATTTGCCGGGCGGGGTGAGAAGGAGCTATCTTTACCTATAAGCGGCAATGCACATGCGCACAGACAAGCCAATTAAATATCAATCTGCTGGCATGTGAATAGGTCTTGCTCCTAGTGGCAGCTAGAGCAATTCACTCTCCGTGATTGCGTTGTGCAACTAGGGTTGATATTTGCTAGGCTCTCCCTCCTTAATTGTCACTAACGTGGCACTAACATACACGTTGTAGCAGTGATCATATATGGTTCTAACATGGGGAATATGGATTTATTTTTTGAGCAAACAGTCAGGGAAATAAGCCCATAAACACTCGGTCACTATATGTTAGGATATTACGCATATATGATTTAAAAGAGCAAAACGTAATTTTGCATTCATCAAACCAAGAGGAAAATGTTGAAGTCAGGATAACCTCAAGGAAAGTGAAGGGAGGGGGAATCAAACCCAGACCAAGTGACCACCCTGTATTATATACTATTAAAAGACCTGCTAATACCGTCTAATTGTTTGACACTCACACAGGGCGTGACTTCATTGTCAACAGCAGCGGTAGCAAATTCCAAAATGCCATCAGTAAGTACTTAAAATTGCTATGAAATTCTTTTGTATATTGTTAATATTTCATAATTATTTATATATTAATAATTTAACTCACACATCTGTTAGTCTGGAAAGAGAACCTTTTCAAAAAAACACAGACGACTTGGGAACGGACTTTTGTGCTAGTTGTTCAAGGCTTTGCAGACCCTACTGTTACATTGCAGGAATGAGGTTGGTTGTAAAAGAAGCAGAGCTTTACATCTCATTGCAGGGATTTTGTGTACGAATACCATGCCTCCAGGTAGGTACAGTTATGAAACAACAAAGCATGAAAATTAAATGTTAAAGCATCTACTGTAGATGTTGCCCTCTGATATGTATGGATGTATATTGTTCACACACGTCTCTTCTGCAGCTGACGGACTTGCATTTGAGTGCAAAAGATGAGCAGCTTTTTATGCAATCACTTGAGCAGAATGTTGAGTGTGCTGTACTAAATAAATGGAGTTATATCTTGCCCAGGTGAGATAACTGATTCTGTATGCATGACTTAATTCCCACTAATTAATGAGGCTATCTATATGTCTATACATTTATGTACCAGCTTATATACATTCTGCCATTTACAATTTCATTATCGATATAAATCTTGATATAGGGCCTAAGATAAAATATTGCTTGTTTCCCCTTTACCGACCGACTCGCCAAAACGCCGCTAGTCGACACATTTTAATTATTGGCCAATTAAAACAAAACAAAAATTATTTCGTTTCGCCAAAAAAAAAAATCAAATTTGTTCCGCAAAAACATATACACAAAACAGAATATACAATATACATACACACATCTTGTCAAAACAAAATAAAAAAGATTTTACACCTATACTCGGTACCCTGAGAGGCGAGTAGGTATAAAGGTGAAACAAACAATTTTTTAAGGGTGGCCCATGCAGTTGGTTCTTAATTCTAACACTTATGCAATTGATATATATTTATTTTCATAGGGTTACTTGCCTCAAAGCAAAGGATACGTTTATTTAAAAAATAGCCATGTATGAATTCATAATGGAAATTACTATCATATTAGGTGAATGGATTTATTAATGGGTTTTTATGCAGTATGAAGAAAGGTGAAATTGTGGGTATCACGAAGAGCGTTCCAGCTAATAACCGATTTAAGACTTACAAAGATATCAAGAGATATTGGAAGAATACAGTAAGTTATAACACTTGCAAGATCTCAGATAATCATTCACTTCCAATAGGAAGTTAATTCCTGTACTATTGTACCATGCCCCAAAACTAAAAAAAATAGACCCAATCAGATAAAAATAACGATAAGATAAATTACTGTAACAAAGGGGTTTATAAAACGAGAACTTATTACCAAACTGTTTAAATTATTAGACTTTTGATATGGTACATTCTGTTGCAGTATGGTTATAGGTTACCTGAAAGTGAAGACTCAATGCTGTACTTTCAAGTCTACTTTCGTGCTATTGGAAGCAATCTATTCACGTATCCTTTCCAATGACAGATACTATGATGTTTAGTTTACATTGCTATGTGAGGATGGGTACTATATACTAGTCTGTATAATATAATGCTATACACGTTAGACATGTATACACTATATAAGAATTCTGTTGGAAAATATCTTATTGAAGTCAATGCTATATTATACCTTGACAACATTGGGAAGATATCCTACGTGTTGTGTACGATCTGCAGATATCCAGTATCAGCCACGGTGTGATCCTGCTCCAATAGTGACTGCATTCATGAATGAATTGCAAGCCAAGGTGGGAAGCATTTGTGGCCACACTCTGACCTTCACAAGGACACCGTCATTCTCAATTCCTCGACTATATCCTGCCAGTCAGGTAACTCTATTATTAACACTTATATCCCCTGCATCTGCTCCTTACCACATCATCCACGATGAAAATGCTCACAGAAAAAAGCCAGCGTGACAGTTAGAGTGATTTAGCTCAGATCGTGAATTACTTTGGCGTTGAGATGTTGTTGAGTGACATGCCTCTCTCCATCATACGGACATTAACTTTGACGATGTTCCTTGTAGCCGGTAGCTCACAGCAATCTTACTGCGACGTCACCACCCGTGGCCACGCCGTACAGATCCATCTTCACCCCGCCTGTGCCGCTCGCACACCGTCGGCAAGAAGCATCAACACAGCCGGCAACGCAGCGAGGGCACCACGGTGCGTACGTGTCGCCACCAGCTGGCGCTGACGGTAGTCCGCCGTCCCTCAAGACGGCGTTCCTCGCCGGCGCTGCCAGAATGGTCACTAAGCCAGCTTCATCGGCAGTAGACAGATCGCCGGACAGTGCAGCAGGCAATGACAGGATCGTCCCATGGTTTAAACCTCAGAACAGCGCGAGAGGCCAGCTGCGTAGCGAAGCGAAACCCACATCCAGGATCGTTCCGATATTTAGGCCAGCGAAAGTGGCCCCTGCGCAGGCTGTAGGACGGAAGGTGCCTCCATCTACTGGTAGAGTGAGGCCTGCATTCTCCAGTACCGTAGCGCCACCTAGACTGAGCCAGGTGGACAGCACCGCCCCCTCTTGCAACATCGCACAGAAGCCCGGCCCAAACTTTGCCGGAATTCCACCACGCCACCCAAGCTCCGTGCCTCGGCCTGGCATGGTAGCTCCCCTACACAGACCATTTACAGCACAGCTGACAGAGTCAGGGATAAGCCATGTTGCCACTCAGCTTAGCAACTCGGGTACGTAGAGGGAATATGCTTGGATAGACGTTATTTATCAGTGCTGTTACTGAATGGTGTGTATATATGCAAAAAATATTCTGATGGCACGTTGCAGGTTTGTATTTTGTCTTCGTATCTACACACATTGTCACAATTTGCTGCAGCACCTGTTCCAGGCTTGCCACGAGGTCATTCACATCAGCCCTCACACGGGAGAATTCTACCAAGTCCAGCCACTAGTCAGCTTAACCAGGGTATTATGAAGAGACAAGCACAGGTAACTACCAACGTTATTTTATTAGTTGGTTTACCTGGAAATGAACCTGGCACTATGAATGGTATAGGATTTATTTTGGTATTAATAACGTTTGTTTTGTAAACAGGGAGTGGGCGATGAAGGGTCTAAAATAAAGAAGCCACGGGTCAAGCCACAAGTACAAGAGAATGTCAATGTAGAGGAATATGCAACATATAATCAGGTAAACGAATTACTTTTATCAACTGGAGAAATGAATCTTACATGCCCTATAGTATTGTAATTTGATTTCTCATCAGTCCACATAATATATTCACATCACCAACACGTCGAGCAACGCCAGTATGAATTTAATCACTTCACGTGATTTCCGATCATGATGGGCCAGATTTGCCCGTGAATATTTATTTATACTGCGTGTTGATTTTTGCAGCTGGGAAAGCTGAACACGGTCACCCTACTGTCATGGCTGAGACAGAAAGGTGTCGCCTGCAAGGCTAAAGATAAGAAACAGGACCTCATTGACAAGATCATGCTGTGCATCGCTGCCAGACACATTGAGCAGTGACAGCAGCAAGCATCACGTGTCTACATGTCACGAACTCTGTGGGGAGATTGTTGCAGAGGTGGCTACCTGCATATATGCACGCGACCTGTGATCCAATGGGATGTTTAGGCATGGTGGTCGCAAGATTAGTAAATTGACGAGTACACAGCAGCATAAAGTTGAGTATCAATGTTATGTACATGTTACAGTATCAATAATTTATTTGAAAATTATTTATTATATTTATCAGGGGTGAATAATAATAGATAACTATATTAGATCTATTATTATTCACTCCTGATATTATGCAATTAGTTTCAATTATTTATTACTAATGACCTTGATTAATTTGCATTTAAACAATAAATTTATTGTAATATGGTTTTATTGCTTTGGTTTTAGTTTCACATGCACAAATCATTCACATCACCCAACATGTAATCAGGGAAAAATACCATAACCCTAATGTGCAAATTATGTTTGCCTGGTATTATATTACAGAATTCACACACCCTAATTTATGTATTAATATTGTATACATACATTTGATTGATGCTACAAACTATCACTCATAATTTGATTTATACCTATAACAGTATATTGAAATGAAACTGTAAACATTCTAAGTTTAATTTCTTTACACACATGCACACCATTCAAACGTCTGCAAACTATGCTCATACAAAACATTACATAGAAGCTGACATTATATAGAGCAGCGCAGCATCATAACAAACATCCAGTTTGGTAGGATGTCTAAAAGTCTGTTCATGCCTAGTCAATCGTAACTAGTAGTACAGCATGATTCCAACAAGTACCGCAGTGCGACAGGGCTCATCTGGTGTCTGGTGTTCTGCTGATAAATTCATTTGCGCATAGCAAGACGTCTTATACATAAGTCTTCTATATACTTGTTTGACTTTTGTAGCCAATTCGAACAAATATATCAGCTACACTTTCGCACCCACCTAATCTCTATGGGCTAATTCTATTACCAAGAACAATAATAACAATTCAAATACAAGTTAATGAATGACATTGACGTTGACATAAAAGATTTCAACATATGAGCATGGATCTCCAAGTTTAATTAGAGGGGGCGGGGGGGTCCTCTCCCACCTCCCTCCCTCCTGCCTCTCACCTCCCACTTTACTCCCCTTGCCTCTCACTTCCACACACTTACCTCCCATCTCCCTCCCCCTGCCTTCGACCTCCCTCCCCCTGCCTCCCACCTCCCATCCCCTTGCACACAATCTCGCACGACCTAATTGTACCCCGTTTCCCGCTCGCGTACACACCGTATCACCGTTTTCCTGTCTCCGTCTCAATTTACTACTCTCTCTCTCTCTCTCTCTCTCTCTCTTTATCTTAGACTTTCTCTCTCTCTTTATCTTAGACTTTCTCTCTCTCTGTTAATTATATAAATTAAAAAAACAAACCAGCGATGATGCATTTTACTGCCCCCTCAATAATACTTCGTTCCTATGCCCCTGAGTGTAACAGCCATAGAAATAATAATATATAGTGTCTCTAATATTTCTATGGTAATAGCTTATGTTCACATAACTGGTAAATGGATATGCACGGCCATAGCTACATGATATATGCTAAGATTCAAGATGAAAAGTAAATATATATTATATGGTACTAGTTATTATTTATTCGTTTAACAAAGTTACATGAGAATAAAATCTAATTTAAACTAGGTCTATAGTTGCCGCGAGATGGCGTGTGCAAGTGTAATCAATAATCAAAGATGGCATCGCCCTTCTTGAGATACCCTAACTAGCTCCCTGGGGAGTTGCTGAAATCCTACAGGCTAAAATCCAAGTAAGTATATTCAGGCAGGCGATTAACACGTGTGCATTGCAGGTTGGCAGGCAACAATTATGATTAGAAGAGTGCCAGCAATGGGCTGCCCCGTGTTTTTGCCTACACACGCGAGCATTCACTGATTCAGCCTTCCGGGTGCTATAGACAGACTGCTTTAGAAAATAATATGATTTAAGGAGCATAAACCTTGTTCAACAAACATTTGCCTTTGCAATTAAACTGTGCAACTGTAGCCTCACATTCACACAGGTATGGGCTCTAATAATAGCAAAAGCAGTTCAGTCCTTTGTTAACAGTCAACAAATCAATGTTTAACCCTCCTCTTGAGGGTCAAAAAGTTATCCGACACTTAATTACTCTTCGCATGCCAGCGGAAAGTACATTTCATGGTCCTTTCAATAAAGCCATAAAAATGGTAGGTGACCGCTGAAACAAAAAAGTTTTCCAATTGCTCCGTCAGACCATGTCCTCAGAAAATGTCTAAAATCTGCCCTGTGCCC